ATTGTGTGAAGTTGAGAATACAGCTTTCTTGAAGTTACTCAAATCTAAAATGTCCACCAGAATGTCAATGGAGAAACTGGTTTCATTGTCTCTTAATGTCTGCAAGGAACTAGTCAAAAAAATGGAGTAGCAGTCCGACTACTTGGATTTGTTCTGCCAGAATTAAAATATAATAAATCTAGAAAATTTACCTGGCGTTGCCTGTGTGAAGTTGAGAATACAGCTTTCTTGAAGTTACTCAAATCTAAAATGTCCACCAGAATGTCAATGGAGAAACTGGTTTCATTGTCTCTTAATGTCTGCAAGGAACTAGTCAAAAAAATGGAGTAGCAGTCCGACTACTTGGATTTGTTCTGCCAGAATTAAAATATAATAAATCTAGAAAATTTACCTGGCGTTGCCCAGGGGCTTAACTCAGTTTTGATTTCTTCATTTAAATCATCATTGTGGAGTATATTTGGGGATGAGGAGCTCAATATACAGGCTGCCGTGGGGAGGAAAGACAATCCCAGCCCTCTCTCACCGCAGCTATTTGGGGCCAGGTGAGAAGTGCCTCTCCCTGACTGCTGCAGCTGACATAGCTGGGGGAGGGGTACATGTCCCCCACTTGGGGGACAGACAGACAGAACTCTCTGAAATATATACTAGATAGTGTCCCTTTCTCCCCCGCTGCACCCTGCTTGCCCAATGTGGTTATAGCTGTCTTGGAGGCCCGTAGTGGTCATTCTGCAGTATAACTTATTCCTTTCAGAGCCCTCCCTTTCCTTTTATGAGCAACCATTAAATTCTAGGCACATGCCATTGTCCTGGCACAACCAGTCCCTGATCTTGCTTAAGTTATGGTAAGAGGAAACTGTGTCCCAAATTTGGTGGTCCTTGCTTTTACCGTTGAAGAGGAGTTCTTGGACAGACAGACAGACCGACATACACGTCTAAAATATATAGTAAAAAGATAAGATGTATCTTGTGCATGCATGTTGTAGGGGCGGGGCAGCTGGCGTGTTCTTATGACCCAGGGGGCTATGCCAGCGGGAGCTTAGTGCTCCTGGTAGATTCTGCCAAGCCGGAAAGGTCAAGGGGGGAGGAGCCAGACTAAGCATGCACACCGGTCCTCCGGGATTGGGGGTTTGTCTCAGAGCTAACAACCCTGACCTAGAAAAAGCTTTGGTATGGAAACAGCAAGAAGATAAGAGCATCTTGAAGGCAACATCATGGGGTATCCCTAAAAATATTCCCATAGTAATTCTATTACAACTGGCATTTTCTCTTGCAGGCTTTCATACCATCAGCGAATAATAGATATTGTTCCTGCTACCTTCTCTGTCCTTAGTCCTGCAAACCCATCGTGTATTTACAAATATGGAGATGAAAGCAATAGTAAGTATAAACACTATTTAGAAGACTAATATTTTGAAGAAAAGGTATATCTATGATTTGAAGTCTGAGCAAGCAAGGAAACACTCTAGTTTGAGTCTCATTAGTTATTTTTATGGAAGAAAATTCCCAGTGGAAATAAAAAAGCTGACTTTTGACTTGGAAACATTACTTGAGTGAGACACAGTAATATAATTTAGGTCTAAATCTTTGATTTGGGGTGTAAGGTGGAGGGGGGAGAGCTGGGAGCCAGAGAACTCTGTGTGCATCTGGCTGTGAATAACTTTTTGCTGTTGGAATAGAGGAAGAGGTGATCTTGGGAGGTGGAAAGGACAAAGCAAGTCATGAGAATACTAGTTTGCCAAGCTTTTCTGTGGCAGGTGCTGCCATGGCTCTTAGTGTTCTCGCTGCCTGGGATTGTGAATGTGGTTTAAAGTGTCATTACGTAATTTGGCTGTTGACTATTAAAATAAGTTCACATCTTCAGAGAAATTAGAGTTGTGGTCCAGACATAGCAGATGAGCTTGCAGCTTGCTGCAAAATCCATATTTCCAGCATGCCAAAATCTCACTTCTGTTAATAGTTGGGTTTTTTATTGTTCAAGGGAAAGTCTTTTGTTTTTCTGTGAAAGTGTAGGCTGACATAAAACTAACCCGTGTTCATTGCAGCTGATTGCGAAGATGATCAGACCTTTTTTCTTCTGTTTAGAGTCTCTTCCAGGATATACGGTTGCACTCTGTTTGACCATTGCCATTAAAAATAAGGCAAGTAATGATGAAATCTTCGGCATCTTAAAAGATGTGCCCAACCCTAACCAGGATGACGATGACGGTAAGGTTATTTGAGATTAGACACTTCAAGGTCACTTCTTCTACATTCAAAACTACCTTCACCAGTCTATAGAACTAGAAGTTGTGCCTGGTATGTTGCCTCATGGCTTTGTGTGCTCTCTCTATTTAGCATCACTGAGCAGAAAACAGAGCCATTATAAAATGACAGTACTTCTCATAGACTCATAGACTCATAGACTTTAAGGTCAGAAGGGACCATTATGATCATCTAGTCTGACCCCCTGCACAGTGCAGGCCACAGAATCTCACCCACCCCTCTTAGAATAATCCTCTCACCTATATCTCAGATATTGAAGCCTTCAAATACTTTGAAGACCCCAACATGCAGAGAGTCCTTCAGCTGTGATCTGTGCCCAATGCTACAGAGGAAGGCGAAAAACCTCCAGGGCCTCTGCCAATCTACCCTGGAGGAAAATTCCTTCCTGACCCCAAATATGGCGATCAGCTAAACCCTGAGCATGTGGGCAAGACTCACCAGCCAGACACCCAGAAAGTTCCCTATAGCAACTCCTATCATCCCTCCATTGACCTATTTCCAACTGGAAATGAATGGTCAATTAGTTACCAAGATCATGTTATTTCATCCAACCATCCCCTTATCATAGAATCAGAACTGGAAGAGACCTCAGAAGGTCGTCAAGTCCAGCCCTCCGCTCTAGGCAGGACCAATCCCATCTAAATCAACCCGGCCAGGGCTTTGTCAAGCCGAGACTTAAACACCTCTAGGGATGGAGACTCCACTACTTCCCTAGGTAACCCATTCCAATGCTTCACTACCCTCCTAGTAAAATAGTTTTTCCTAATATCCAATCTGGACCTCTCCCACCACAACTTGAGACCATTGCTC